TCGTATCTTGTTGCTCTAAATTATCGAATGCAAGCATAAAGTTTATATAAATATATTAAATTATATACTAATTTAGTTTAACGGTCTAACGCGTTTGTGAATTTACCACAGTTTTTGAGTACAGAAGATATGAAAGATAAGCTGATCGAGTACATTTGGATTTTAATAATAATAATGAAAAAATAATCGTCGCGTTCTTGGCACAATATGTAGCACCACCGGTTATGAACATAATATCTAGAGCACGTTCGAATTGAATATAAATTTAAAGAAACGACAAGTATATTTAAAGTAAAATATAAATAACACAATTTTATATTCTAAGCGTTACCGAACAAAGACCACCGAAAATGACTGCAACAACAATATTTTAACGGCGGCTGTAATATAATCTATCGAAGTCAGGTAATTGTAGGTAAGACAATTATTGCAAAATATATAATTCTAAATGGGTGAATTATTATTAGTCTAGTCRGTCGGTCGTATTTCGTAATAGCTATTTATAATTAGTAAAATGTGTTAATTATAAATAAAGATGTAATAATTATTATTGTTTATTCGGCCCGTGGGGTGCCAATTAATTATGCTCTGACGCCGCCACGTCATGACCAAATCGTGGTGGCGGTGTCTGTGCCGGCCAGCGAGGGACAGTCATCCGCATTCAACACCCATCCCCCTTTTAAACAGATCGCGTGAATAATAAAAAGTATCGGTATGACGACGATAATAATGTCATAAACATACAACAATTWATGTTATAAATTTATAATATAATATTAAACTTTAAAATGTAAATTTTAAAAGTATTTTAAACGGCGGCAGCGAGGAGTTTTTGCGATAATCGCGTTACCGCAAATGCGACGCGATAGAGTGTGAAATTGCCATGCTCGTAATACCGTTTGAACATCTTTCGTCTTTACACGCAAGTACACGACATATTATTATCATTATTATCCGTGTAAATAAACGTACGTTTCACTACTCTTTTGAAACCGTTTACCATGCGCGCACTCAAAATAAATATAAGACGAAAACTCGTCGTTGCTCGTATAAAACGGTAATGATATAATACTATATAACCTGGGTATTATTACGGGCGGCGGCCTCTCGGAAATACGATTATTCCAGTTTGACGTACACAACGCGACGACAATAATAATATCGCAACCGATGACAATCAAGTTAGTGTCGTATATTATGTGCGATAAAAACCTAGGCTGTTTTCAAAATACTGGCTAGAGGCGACCAACTCACAGTCCACCGCGAYAGCGTGAACGCTGAACAACCGTGATTTCTGAAAAACAATTTGCCGCTGTGATCGGCTGAATCTTTCAGTTASTATAATATTATAGTAAATTAGTAAGCGGTATACGTAAAAAGTTATACCAAACTAGAGAACAGTAAATTGAATCGAATMCGATGCATACGTTAATAACCGCAGTCATCGCTTACCATTTAGTATTTTAGTGGATAAAAAAAATACACCCGAGTCCATTGATCGCATACATAAGTGAGCCGTTGCGAGACGCCAGGCAGATGTGAAACATCAGAATTTATTTGTATAGAAAATATGCATGATAACTGATTTATTAAAGGAAATAAACACGGCATAGTGTCATTATCAAAAACAAAATATWCTGGTTTTTTGTGAGTAAAAACATTTTTTATTTTAAAGGAGCATAWCATGTTTACGCGCAAACCGCTGCAATAGATTTTTCACATCAAAAATTGCTTTTAATGATTTTTCCGGAAACCACTGTTGACGTTATCATGGAGCAGTGTGGGGGTCGCCTTGGTATAGGCCAGAAGTATTCAAACTGTGTCGCGGCCCCCAGGGCCGTTGCAACTTGCAAAAGGAGCCGCATCAAAGCACCGGAAACCAACATCATACCTAGGCCTTGTATCATTATCATAAATATTATTTTGCAATAATAATTTGAAATTAAAACGACATACGTTACGACGCGACCATTTGAATTTTTATTTCTAGTACTAAAGCCACTATTACTATCACTCATATAAAATA